AACGTCCTGCTCTTCGTGGCTCAGAACACCAGAACTAGGAGCCAGTGTGTGTCCTGGTTCCTGGAGACAGGAGGAGCAGCTAGGGCATGGACCAAGGAGAGCCTGAGGCAGAAATTCACAGCACGTGGAGCCTGAGCCAGGACATGCTGCCCTGCCCGCACTGTTCAGCCAGTGGGAAATGGGCACACTGCTTGGCTGGCACTGAGCTTGGTAATGTGGGTTCCATGTCCTTCCTTGGGGAGGGAGCAGGCAGAGCCCCTCAGTAGAGAAGCAGCACCCCCCCCTGCTCTTGGGGGTGGGGGTCAGGGAGAGGCCAGCCCAACATCATCTCCTTGCTCCCCAGAGGCAGTCCTACGGACAGTCTGACCTCTGTCTTCCCTTCTCTTAGGCACATCCCTCCCCAACTCTTCTCCCTCCACATGGCTTCCAAGGGACAGACCCCACACCCTCGCTCTCTGAAATGAGAACCAGGAACTTGGGCTGGAGGTCCCTCACCTGCTCAGCACCAGGGTCTCTTGCCTGGGAACACAGTCATCCCTGGGGGAAGATGGCAAAAGTTAACTGCCCAGCACCCTCTGGTTATAAGGAGAGAAGAGAGACAGAAAACACACCTCAAGGGAGGCCCTGTTTTCTAGAAACATTTCTTTATTTAAAATTTAAAACCATATTACTTCATACAGCAAACTGTGCACTTTGATATATCACAGTGTCTTAAAAAGGAAAATAATCGGATTTGTTTGGAAATTTATTTACATCAGCCTAGAATGATTGGCAAGTAACACAGTTACTATGAAACCCAAATTGTTACAAAATGTTTACAAAAAACTATATTCATAGAAATTCTGCATGTCCACAAAGGGCATCCCCTGAATGGCCCAGAGACCAGTGTGTGGGAACCATGTTGAGTGGGAGTGGGGGGCGTCCAGGCACTCTAGTCTGGGTGGTGGGACAGGCTAGGGGTCTCCGCCCAGGCAGAGGTGGGCTGGGGGCTTGGAACACAGTGGCATGAGGGCCCCTGGAGCCTCAGATCCCTGTGGAGCCAGGACAGGCCCCTCCTCAGTAAGCTGGATTCAGACATGCTTGGCCAGGGCCCCAGAGGCAGACCCAGGGTTAAGTGCAGCCTGACACCTGGGGCTGTAGCAAAGGGTGGGCTGCTGGCCGCATGGATCTCTCCACTCCAGATCTCTTTTCCCCTGCATGCTCCAGAGATGCTTGGACCCTTGAAAGGGGCTAAAGGACCAGAACAGCAGAGAACAGATGGATCTGGGTAGGCAGGGACAGAGGTCTCCTGCCCACTGGGGATGGGGGGCTTTCTGCCAACTGCACTGCTGGGAAAGACGCAGCAGGGGGGAGAGAGCAGGCAGAGGGCGCCGGGCTGTCCCGGGACAGGAACTGCCTTCTTGACTCTCACCTTTCACATCGCTGGCTCCTTGGTCACTCCTGGACAGCTGATCTCTGGGTCGAATGGGGCTGGGGAGGTTGTCCGAGGTGGGGAAAGCTCTTGGCTGGCATTTTACTGAGTCTATGGCTGCTTCCCCAGATCTGGAGGCCTCAGAGTTTTGATTGTAAAATGGAGACAAACTGTGGGGTGACTTGAGGTCCTCTCTTCTAGAAGGAAGGGGTGACGAGGGCAGAATCAATAACTAGGACACTAGGACATTGTATTGGCATGCTGGCAATGCCCTCAGGGCCATCCTCTTTAAAAAGCTTTTGACCTAGCTGTGAGCTGTGGGCACCTTCATGTGTGGCTGGGAATTTGAGGCAGAGGACTTTGCTGCCTGGATAGTACAGGTGGAGCCTGACACCTACCTACCTGGTGACTCTGCAGGCAGGGATGACAGCAGGCCTGCGGAATGGCCCCTCTTTCTCAGCCCTTTTGCTCCTATTAATGGCCCCAGGACTAGAAGGTAATATTGGCACAGGAGCCAAGTGCTAGTTCTTGTCGTTGTTCCTTCCCGGATACGCCCAGCTGTTTTGCCTTGACAGACTCCCAGATGGAGACAAGGTCCCTTGGCCCCTTCCACCCCTCCCATGGGAGGAACTGGCTGTGAAGGCCCACCCACCGCCCCTCAAAGTCTGCCCTCTTCCTCAGGGTCTGAAGCCCTGATGTATTTGGGGTCTTCCCATCCCCAAGGGCGTCTCTGCAACCTCCATCCCAGACTTTGCTGCTGTGGCCGCTGGCTCTCACCTGGTCCCCACCCATGCTGGCTGGGTTGTGTACACTCTGTGTGCAGACGTGCGGGGAAGGGATGTATACACATAAGCTACAGGTCATATATACACTGTGCATATATATATATATATATATATATATATATATATACAGCATATATATATATATATTTACATTCATACATATATTGTACAGAACACTAACCTTCTACCTAAAACAGTTTTGTGACTTTGCATATGACCTCAGCTCTGAAATTTTAACTCCAGGGTAAATCCAGCACTGAAATGAGGGCTTGACTCAAACTGGCATGGGGACCAGAGAACAGGGCCCTTACATTGTAGCAAGCAGCTGGGCCCGTTCCCAATGTGTCCACTCAACCTGGGACTTCCAGATGTGTCTAATCCAGACACCTGTCCACAGAGTTGGGCCCATTTCTGCATCTGTCCATGGGGCTGGGCCCGCCCCAGATGTTAAGTCCATGTAACTGTTTGTCCAGACCGCTAGGCCCATCCCGGATGGGCACACACACGGGACCACTCCAGATGTGGGCCACAGAGTTGGGCTTATTTTCAGATGTTTGTGCGTATAGCTGGGAATGGCTCGGGGGGGATCAACTTCATGCTGAGTGATGAAGCAGCAGCTGTACCCCCATCCCCAGCACCCCCTGGAAAAGAAGGCAGGGAGGGAGACTCTGATTGTTCTTGGGAGTGTTTGGGTCTGACTTCCGCTCTCTGGGATGTGAAGGACGGGGGGAGGCTTCTAACCTGTTTGGACCCCTCCCCCATCCTGGGCCAGGATTTCCATCTTCCAGTGCCCGGGCAGAGGGCAGAGAGCAGGGAGCCAGGATGTGCTCTTCCGGTGGAGGCAGAGTCTTGGCTGTGAGGAGAGGGCAGTCCTCCTACCCCTCAGAGATTCAGAGTCCAGCTCATCGGCCAAGGGGGCGTTTTCCCTCTTGAGAGACGCGTGCAGGGTGGAGCCACCTGAACGCTGCCAGAGCTCCGAGGGTTTCCTCATCTGTCCACAGCAGAGAAACCAGCAGCAGGTCCAGGGGAGAGAGAAGGGGAGCTCACTGTCCAAATGCCCCAGGGCCTTGGTGCGTGGTGGTAGTGGGGGCCTTCTCACGGCTGCCCCTCAGTTTGAGCAGGTGGAGAGGCGGCTCTGCCATTGTAGGGTGAGGTGGGGGCCTTCTTCTGTTCAGGGCTGGCACATGGGACCAGACAGGGACAGTCCAGCCCTGCCCAGGCAAGTTCCACCTTTTGTTCCTTCCACCCCAGCTTTTAGGCTTCCTATCACTTCTCAGTGCATACGCGTGCTCTGCCCAGTTCAGTTCCACATCCACCAGCAGGGCAGGCTTCAACTTTAATAACATACACTCTGCCTGGCTGGGAACACCTCCCCGCCCCCTCCCACCTCAGAGATGCAGGGTCACCTTCAGGACCCCCATAGAGACACAGCTCATATGTGGGCAGAAGGGGTCTCCACTGCATTTGAACACTGGGCTGCTCTCTAGGACAAACGCAGGACATCAGCCAGCAGCTGAGTGTTAGCCACACCTGCGGACATAAGGCTCAAATGGGAGAGGAGAGTGAGCAGCATGCCACCCACTTCCGTTCAGGAGTCCAAAGGCCTTTTCCATACCTTCTGGGAGATTTCCCTAATGGAATTGTGCCTCTGTTTACCCTCCATGCTTCACTCCTTTTATGAAAAGTCTTGCCATCCCACGCCACTTCTTCTTCCTGCCATCACAATCTACATATGTGCATAGCCTCAGAAGAGCATGACACGTCCACGTAGTGTCATGCACAAAAGCACACATCTGTGTGTGACATGAACATGCACGTGGGCATGTGCTATGAAACCGTGCTGGACAAAATCAGACAGTGGGTGATGACTGTCATTGGGGAGAGCAAAGCGGCAAACACCTTCATTAGAATTAGGGAATCCCCGATATCTGGAAATTGCAAAAAGAAAAGAGTTTTCCCTTCAAATGGGACACCCCGCCTATAGCAAAGGAGCACCCAGCATGTGCCCCTGAAGGGTTTTGCCCTGACGTGGCCCATCTCCTTGTGCGTCTGCCCATACAGGACAGCAAACCTCTGTGACAAACGATCTCTCCCATGACAGAAGTGCAAATAGACCCTGATGCCCTCCCTTCCTGACTGATTGTCCATGTTCCTGCTGTGAGTTGGGACATATGTGGGTGTCTCAACATGTGTGCATGAGCACACTCACATACACACTCACAAACTCTAATTCCATATGGCTCCTCACGTACAACATGCACTGACCCATGTTGCACGGCTGTCTGGTCTGTCCTCCCCCCTGCTCTCTGCTGTGCACACAATACTACAAACACACGTGAACACACACTCACACACGGACCCCTCGGGGACATGGCTTCTCCTTTTACATGTATTTGGCTACACTGCAGGTTTTATCCTGTCCTCCATCCTCTGCCATTCAGTGCACAAATGCACACACACAAAAGCATACATACCCACGCATGCATGCATGCATATGTATACTTGCCAGGACCCCATTATGACATGGCTTCTCCTGTTTTTTACATATACGGGGCTCTGCTGCTTGGCCAGAAACACACACTCACACACGGACCCCTCGGGGACATGGCTTCTCCTTTTACATGTATTTGGCTATGCTGCAGGTTTTATCCTGTCCTCCATCCTCTGCCATTCAGTGCACAAATGCACACACACAAAAGCATACATACCCACGCATGCATGCATGCGTATGTATACTTGCCAGGACCCCATTATGACATGGCTTCTCCTGTTTTTTACATATACGGGGCTCTGCTGCTTGGCCAGGTTTGTATCCTTCATCCCTAATTCACTCATGTATGTGCACGTACACGCACACACACACACATACCCCCAGATCCCGAAGGATTCACTTATTATTGCATGCCCTGGACTATGTTATATGTCCAAATCTGTCCTTCGCCCCTAGCCCCCGAAGCTCACACATGCAAAGACAAATACACACATGCACACACCCCTGCACTCCAAAGTTCACGACAGCATGGCTTTTCCTGTCATTACACACCTGGGGCTATGCTGTATGTCCAGCCCTCTTCTCCCTCCTGCAACAGACAGCCTGGAGGAGGGACAGTATTTAGCACTTGAGCCCACTGTGGTGTCCTGCTTTGCTAGAGATTACCCTTCACCCCAGCTGAGCAGGCCCTTGAATCCAAGTGTAGCTCTTCCCTAACCAGGCTCCCCAACAGCAACAGGAGAGAGGTGGGAGGCGAGTGGCTGCTGTCCCCTGGTTCCTCCCTCCCCTGCTCAAAGGCTGCCCTCTGTCCTTGGTCACAGGCAGCCTGCCAGCCCCATCGTGTTCTCTTTAAGGACACTTTGTGCCTAACCCTTCATGTCTCAGTCTTTGCCAAGAATCTTAAAGTCACAGACCCCTAGAGCATCCATTGCAGCGGCTGACCCACAGATCATCTGGTCCACCCCCTCCCTGGTACCCACACTGCTGCTACTTCTCTGCTGTCTTCCCCCAGCCCATAGGGTCGCAGCTGCTCTGGACAAGAGACAAGGGGCCAGGATGGCCTTGTGTCTCTGTGTGGGGTCTTTGGTTAATTCTCCAGGAGGCAGCTTCTCCCTCTCCCCCTTTGGGGCCTTCCTGCCCCTGGAAACTTTTTCTGGGGACTATCTTTAGGTTTGGCAAGTGCAGGAGGCCAGGAGTTCTTTGTCCCCTCTGGCTTTGCCCATCTACCCCAACGTCAGCCTGTACAGCAGGACTCTGACCCCTCTTTTAAGGAAGGGTGACCTGACTTCCACTTTGATCTAGGCCACTCTTCCTTCTGAGATGACAGAGGGAGGCCAAGGTCAACTGGCCAGGAGTGGGGAATTGCTGATGAGTAGATGGTGAAGATCCAGGTTCCCAAATGCCAACAGGGTTTAGAAACAGCTTGCTAACCAGCAACGTAGGATCCACTGGCCCCAGGGCCTGTGGGACTTCCACGGAATCCACTGTTCCTCTGCTGGGCTTCAAATATTGGCTGAATGTCTGGGCATCCTTTGTGAAAGACTTAGGGGGTCCCCTCTTCTCTGGCCAGAAAGCAGAGAAGAATATGCTGTGATCACTCCCCTACTTATGTTTGCAGAGACCTTCTAGAGGAGTGGGAGCCATTGGGACACTGTCCACATGAATCCAAAATGGCAGCCTCTACCTGCGCATTCTTTCTCTCCCATACCTCAAACTCTTTTCCCCTGTGGGCTCTTTGCCTTCAGCTTTGCCAAGACAGGGGCTGCTGTGGGTGATGCCAAGTCCAGAAGACCAGGACTACCTGAACAGCCCCTGAGGGATGAAGTCTTCCTTTGGATGGGATGGCCATTCTTCATCTTTAGCTCTCATTGGTAGCCACATTATAACACCCTTAAGACACCTAAGGCTTGTGTCTCTGGTCTCATGGTCAAGCCCTGGGAGGCCTGCGCTCTTGGGGAAGGAGAGTCAATATAAGACTTGTCTCCCATTTTCTGTGGCCTCTGCAGTATCGTGGCAGAAACTTCTGACTCTAGAGGAGGGTTGAGGGGAGATGAGTTTGGTCTGAGAGAGGCATGTGCTTCCTTTGGCCTTGGCTGTCTTGGCTGGCAGCTTTAGAAACCCATAGAAGAAATAAAAGGAGAATGAAGCCCAAGCAGCTGGCCTGAGGGCCTGCTGGTTTCCTGGTAGGTAATGGCAGATGGCTCCTGGCCCAACAGGCGGGCAGCAGCTCTGGTCCCCAAGCCCGGTGTGAGGGCAGGCGACAGTCCTTCCAGTCTCCTTTGCTTTCCTCTGACCTGCCTGCCCTAGGCCTGTGGTCCCCACCCCACCTGTGCCTAGGGGAACACAGGGGCTAATGATGTGCTGCAGGACATGCTGTCCTTGCCTGGAAGCCGGCGGTCATTGAACGTGTGCATGTTGATGACGGCATCAGTCTTGACCATCATGGGAGGCTGCGGCTTGTGCTTGACCCGACGCTGGCAGGTGAGGGAGAAACGGATCTCATCGGCCACAGTACTGCAGAAGGAACGCTGGGGAAGTGGGGGAGGAAAAGGGGCACATGGGTGAGGCCTGGTCCTGCAATTCTGGCCAACACTTCCCCTTCCTCCCAGAGCCTCTGCTAAGGCTAACCATCTCCCTCACACCATCACTCCACCCATCTCCCTGCTCCCTGCAAGATGATTAGTTTGTGTAGCAGTCTACAAAGCCCCATGTTCTTGTTTGGGGACTCGGGTAGATAGAGCAGGTATTGCCATCTTATCCCCATTTTACAGATGAGTAAACTGAGGCTCTGATTGGCATGCATGTTAAAGTTTGAGGAACTCTGGTTTACCTGCCTGGCTTTTCTCCACTAGACTCTGAGGGCAGGAACCAGCCAGTTTCATCCCCATGAGCCCCACCCCAGCACTCAGCCTTTCCGAGTCAGTTCTCAAGAAATACTTGATGAACATATGCATAGCCCTTCTCCTGGGAGGGCTTGCAGTGAAGGGGAAGAGTCCTTATCCTCCCACTCAGGAAAGTGCAGCATGTGTTTGTCAAGGTGGGCACCTGGGAGGTAAATCCGTGAAGGGCTGCTGGGTGGCAGTGGCCTCCTTCTGGCCTGGGTCCCTGCAGATAGCCAAGAGGGACAGCAAGAGTGCAATGTTGTCCACATGTGTCTGATGGTGGTGGCTTCTATGAGATCAACTGCCAGAGTTGTCCTGGGGCTTAGATGGAAGGCAGTGAGGGCTGTTGATGCCTGAACTGACCCAGTGAGGCCAGCGCTTTAGCACCAGGACCACTTGGCTGCAGGTCATGGGGGCAGGGAAACGGGGACCGGGCTTTGAATTCTGGCTCTGCTTCTTACCAGCTGTGACCTCTCTAGGCCTCCCCTTCTTCACCAGCTAAATGTAGAATATCATCCCTCCCCATCTGCTGATCATCATTCCACGAATATTTAATGAGACCCTACTATGTGCCAGGCACTATTCTAGGTATTAGGCATAAGCAGCAAAGATGACAGATAAAGTCTTAGCCCTTTGGGAGCTTGTGGTCTAATGATGGGATGGAAACATAACAAACAAGTAAATAATTTCAGATAGCGATAACTATTATTATAAGAATAAAGCAGTGAAATGGGATGGAGAGGGATTGGGAATGGGGACAGGTAAGGAAGCCTATTTGAGCAGGTGACATTTAAACTGAACCCTGAATGACCAGAAGGAGCCGAGAGTGGGCCCTCTGGGGGAACAGCATTCCAGGAACAGCATGTGCCAAGGGCATGACACAGAAACATGCTTTGTGTGTTAAGGACTAAAAAAGAGGCCAGTGTGTGTGGAGCAGAGTAAGGGAGGGAATGGTTAGAGAGAGGTCAGAGGATGGGCCATAGGCTTTTTGGTGAAATATAGAGCTCATTCCAATTGTAATGGGAATTCCTAAATAATTTGGTCATTGCTCTTTTTCAATGTATCGTTTTTTTAATCATTCCTTATTGTTGGGCATTTAGGTTTTCCCCCATTTTTTCATGCTATAACTAACACTTCAACAAACATCCGTGTATATAAAACTGCACATTCCTTGACCACTTCCACAGGGTACACCTCTAAAAGTAGAAATTGGCTGGTTGAAATGTATGGCCAGTTTTAAAGACTCTGCACATACTGTGAAGTTGCCGTCAAGAAACGTGCCTACTTCTCTCAGCAATACCGGGCAGTGGCCCTTTCCTTACTCCTGTGCTAACTCTAACACCAGCTATTATCTTTCTCCTGCTCTTTGTTGACTTAGGCTTGCTGGTTATACAGGATTCCATTTCATTTTTGATGGATATATAAGCTGCCTGTTTTAATGGTCCCCTCTCCATACGATTTAACTGCAATCTCCTTCCACACTGGACCTGGATCCCTTTGAACTTCTCTGAGAGGCACTTCGCCCCCAGCCCAGGCGTACATTTAAATCACCCTGCAGGCTTTCTTAAAACGCCAATACCAGGCTCCACCACAGACAAATTAAAGAGTCTCTGGGAGTGAGGCCAGGGCATTAGCACTTAAGAACTCTTTCCCTGTGATTCTAATTTGCTACTGGACCCAGAACCACTGCCCAACTGTGCTTGAATTAATCAGACAGGTTGAGCCTCTGCACGCTTCTACCTTCCGCACGCTTGGGCCGACCCTCTTAACTTTTTTTTTTTAAACTTTTGATTATGGAAATTTGCAAATATATGCAAAAGTAGAGAGAACAGTATAATGAACCCCTATGCAACCATCACCCAGCTTCAACAATTACCCTGGAGGGTTTTACGCAGGGAAATGACATGGTTTGAATTAAGTTTTAAACACTGGCTGCTGGGTGAATTGTGCATGGCTGGCAGCGGGAGGCCAGTTTGGGGGCTACAGCAGAGTCCAGGCTGGAGGTGATGGCAGCTTGGCCTGGGGGTGGCGACAGCAATGGGAAGCCATGCTTGGCTGGACAGAGGTAGGGCCGGCAGGACTCCCTGGTGGATGGATGCAGGTGGGCTGTTGTGAGGTGCGATGGGACACCACTGTGTGCCTGGCACATAGGAGGGAGAAACTGGTGCAAATCCCGTTCTTCTACCTCCTCCCCTTCGCATGCGGGCCCCAGTTCCGGGTACTCACCTGCTCTCGCTCTGCAGTTTTGCGGAGCTTGTACACGAACTCGCCCACGGCTACCAGCACAGACAGGACCAGGCCGGCGGCCAGGACGATGAAGATGCCCCCAATCTTCTGGATCCCCAGGGCACTGGCCTCTTTGTTGTCCTCCTCAGGGCACCCGCTGCCCCGCCACCACTTCTCCTTCATGATGTGCAGCTTGTCCTCCTCCTGCAGCTGCAGGATGGCGATGGTGATCTTGTCCCGGTAAGGGGAGCCTGAGTAGGGGACAGGGGACCCCTGGCTGTCAGCGATCAGCACCGGCCACCATCACTAGCCCTCTGAGTCAGCTTGTGAATTGGGGGACCGTGTCATTGTTAGGCCTACATTTAAATCTTCATGTGGCATCTTGGCAGGTGGAAGTGCCCTGATTTGGGGTGGCCTTGCCCATTGGACATCTGTCCCTACTGGCCCTGGAAGGCCCACGGTGTCTGGGCTGCACCAGCAGAGGTGCGTGAGACAAGGTAGACGTGACCTCTGGGAACTGACCCTCCTTTGTGATGTCCCAGTTCTCAGTGCTTAGGCTAGGGCTGGCCTCATGAGGCACGTGGCTCATCCCCCTGCTTCCGGGCTGAGGAAATGCCACCTTTCCAGGTTCAGTCGGATGAGCTGAGAGAGGAGCAGGAGACCGTGTGCATGAGTCGACCTTGGGGGAGATCGCCCGTCCTCTGTCCATGACCCCCACCTGCCCGCAGCCCCTCACTCACCCATGGGCGTGCCGATGCCATAACCCTTGGAGTCGATGAGGCCCCCAATCTGCGTGAGGTTGCAGTTCCTCTGCGTGACGTACTCGATGGTCGTGGACTCCATGAGCAGCGCGTAGTCAGCCGTGAGGGTCCTCTGGATGCCCTCCTCATTGTTTTTCACCAGCGCCGAGGGCTTGCTGCTCATGAAGGCCCACATCTTCTCGAAGGTGGAGATCTTGGATTTCTGGGCCGGAAGGAAGGAGGGGCACACACACAGTTACCGAGCACGCCAGGGACCAAGCTCCACACATTGGGGAACTGAGCCAAGCGTAATAACTTCGTATAGCATACATTATACGAAGTTATACGAGCCACAAACACTGTTTTAAGATACTAAGTTTTGGATAATTTGTTATGCAGCAATAGACAGCTAGTACATCCTCTCACCCATATACTCACATAAGCTACTTCTGTTCCTGATGTAGCTGCTTTTAAAGATAATTATTAATTCCAACTATCCCTACCATCAAATTATCTAAGTCCAACCTTCCCTGCTTTGTCAGATACACATGCTCCCCAGATACCAGACTCAGGAGGTCCCTGGGGCCAAGGGAGAGGAGGGCCAGGGTGGAGCATCCCCTGATGCCTGGGAGACTGGGCAGAGCAGGGTGCGTGGTGTTCATGACATTTCTCGGGAACTTAGTGCCTGCCAGCTGCCTGCTCCCAGCAGCCCTGGCTGGTCCCATGGGAGCAGGTGGCTCTGCAGGCCCCATCGCACGTGGCTGTTTCCAAGTCTGGCTGTGCCTGTCTGTGATGTCAGCCTGTCTGAGTGGCAACCAGCCCAGCTCTGGTGTGCGTGATGGCATGAGTACGCTTGAACAGGCTGGTGCAGGACTGGGGGATGGGCAGGGGATGGAGAAGAAAACGTGCCTGCCAGGAGCCAGGTGTGGAGCCTGGGAGGAGAGTGCGCTACCTGCTCTCCAGGTGCTCCCCAGCTCTGACAAGGGCTGTCTCTTCCAAAACTGGCTCCTGGAGACCCAAGAGTGTCCTAGAGAGGAGGCAACAAGGACGGGAAGGAGCCCCAAAGCAGCAGGCAGGACCCCTTGGAATTCCACCTGAGCATGGAATCGTTGGGTGCCAGGGATGCCTCCTTTGGGCACGGGGCCTGGGGGCACCTTCACAGACAAGCAGCCACTCCCCGACCTGCAAATTTCCCTGCCCAGGAGCCAAAGGCCCGGAAGGGCTCAGATGCTGCAGCTTCGCTGGGCTGCTCTCAGCTCCTCCTGGTACTCAGGCAGTCCTGCTTCCAGCTGTGCCTGCTCTCCAGCTACTCCCCTCTCCAGCTGCTCTCTATGTATGCAACTCTTGTCTCCACCGCTGCACGTGCCGCCCAGCTCCTCCACTGCCCAGCTATTGTCCCACCTCAGCTCTTCCTGCCGGCCCAGGTGCTCACCCCATAGCCACTCCTGCCCTTAAAAATACTGGTCTCCAGCTCTTCCGACTCCTCACATGTTTCTTATTTTCTAGATCATCTCTCATGTGCA